GGAGGTCGTTCGGCAAGCTAGCCGACTGAACCGGTGGGCAAGTTCAGGTCTTTCACGACTAATTCTGCGGAATGTGCTCCAAAATTCTTGAGGACAGTCTGTTCACATTTCTGCTGACGTACTCACTACCGCTAGTACAGTGAAACAGGTAACTTCATGGGAGAATAAAAAGAGAGTCGTGTTTGTCCACACTGGATGTAAACGGCGACTTTCTAACTTGGTACAAAATCACTAGCTCAGCAGGCAGCTGAAACCCACTCTATGTAAACAGACAGAGTTAGTCGCCAGTCTCACGCTGCTCTGATGAGACTGGCGGACACAATCCCCTAAGCGCATTACCGGCTAGCATCAGATGAATTTTGACCGTTGAATGTTTCTGTATATGCATATTTGCTCTTGGTGACTGCATTTGCAAAACATACTCCATTTATCCTTTGAGATTAAAGAAACGAAATACACACACAACTGTGAGTAGGTTGGTGTATTTTTACTCCACACATTGGACTTATCTGGCTCTCAATTCACCAATACATCTCGATGCGGCGGTCCAACTTCGGACACCCAAAGCATAACACTAGAATGTTCGCTCGGTCACAGCACCAGAGAGCCACATCTGCGAATGTATTACGGTCCCACTTGTTGTGGATGGTAGTGAGAGGTCACACCTACTTGAACTCGTAGCTCCATCCTGCCTACCATATTCTGATTCAGAAATACTCCCTGTCCCATGTCTGTAATTGATTGCGTTCACTTATCACTTGCTTGCTAGATGAACAAGATTGCTGATAAACTGATACAGCTCCATTCTTGCCTACAGGTCCAGCTGTAACCCTAAAGAATGTGATGTTCAACCTTACGTTAACACTCCGTTACGTGTCTTACTAAAGACTGCTATTAAAAGTTCTATAAAAGCAATTGGAGGGTCAAGTTTGGATTACACGTTGTGTGATTGGATTGCGACACGCAACCTCAATGTAATGGACTGTGATTCACATTGAAATAAACCTTAGTCACTGTGATCACGGGGAGCGTATCAAAGTAGATGGAAATTGGGTGTTGCCTACCTGAAAACACTGCACAACCACGACGCGTTTCGATGTAATTTCTTCTCGTCAGGTGGAGACAGCAGGCTTCGATCCTATCTTCTATAAAAGCAGTTTTAGGAACTTGACGATTAGAGGCCAGTTCTAGGATCATTAGAGAAGAGGAATCAGATAAACCATTTGCTTAAGAATTAACAGTTCCGAAAAGATAAGTTCGTTGTGCTCTCCCGCACTGTAAGTACCAATGCCCCGCATGGGGAAATTCTTCTTAACCCGACACAAAATGGCCACAGAAGTAGTTACTTCCTTTCGTCAGATGACAGAAACACAGCATACAAATGTCAGAATTTGCAGACGACACTTGCCTGAGCTCCTGTCTTCGAAATTCTCACAGCTGAGAAAATAGCAGTAATCACTGCTGTTATCACTAGAAAATAGCGCATTATGTTCTATGCTCCTGTGAAGGCACACCACATCATTGATTGCATGTTAATTAGTACAAAACCTATTTGGTTACATTATAGGAGCGCTTCTTAGGTGTGAATTTCGGAATCAATGCCCCATCGTTCTCAGATGTCAAATGGAAGGGGAGGCATGTATTCTTTTTGTAGTATTTCAATGCTCCCACGTAGTATGCATGGAAGAACGGAGGAAATTCTTGGAAAGTACACTGCTGATGTTGGTACAGCTTGGTTGTCAGTTATTCAAAGTTGGTATCAATCTGGTATTGTCCGGAGTTTTGAAAGATGGTCAATGCAGCTGATGAAAATGGAACCTGACTAAGGCTAAGGTAGCAAAACCTAAATATGTGTATTACATATCTCCCCACCAGTGCGCTGGCCACACGATGTGCAAGCGAGCAGGAGTAAAAATCCCAGTGGGAATAGCCGCTAAAAACTGATCTGTACCTGATACAGTTTCGCAAGATATACCCAAGGCTGTGGCATGGGAGACATGCAGGCTAAGGTTCAGTGTTTAAGGTACAATGAAAACTTTGGGAGCAAAATAAGTATGGTAGGTGAACTGGTGGATGTCTTGTTGTTATTAGGCGGTATATTCTGTCCTTCCTCTTCTTCTTGTGAGAGATGATCTCTTGCATCCTGGCAGAAACTGGAGAAGAGTAAGCGAAAGAAAACTGGCAGCAAGCAGTACAACCAAGTGCTCAGCACAACCAGTTGGTATTGTCGATGCATAATACAATAGGCGGTCTGACAACTGGACTCTCCATCCGGACCGTGTCTGCCCCGAATTGATGTTCTCTTGTGGCTTAACCTTAGATGTCAACATCTATGGGTCGCCTTCAACGAACTTTGATGATTGATGCGTCGATAGTGTAGTTTTAGGACCTTTTGCTTGCTGTTCGTAAGGTTGTTCGATATACGTTGGTTTAAGACGGTCTACAGAAACCACGTCGACTTTACCATTCTTATTGATCTTATAGTGTTTTTCTGCCCTAGAGATCAGTTCAAATGGCCCTTCGTACGCATCATCTGGTAACCACACGCGTGAACAAGTTGTTAGATCTTTTGGCATGTAACCTTCTTTAGTTTGTTCGCGTTTGACCGTAAAACGCAGTTCACGCATGGATGCAAATAGGACCTGGACAAAGTTTAAAGGATCTACAGCTTTGGCGTCGATTGGTTGAACGATGTCCGCCGGAAGCTTTAACATGGTACAGTATACCAGCTCCACGGCAGAGCAACTTAATCAGATTTACTTGTCACACGATGACCTAATAAAACCAGCGGCAGAGTCTCGGTCCAAAGCGTAGAGTCAGAGCATGCCATCAAAGATGTTTTGATGCGGCGATGGAAACGTTCGGCTAACCCGTTCGCCATTGGATGGTACGCGGTCGTTCTTATTCCCTTGGTTCCGAATGTATTGGTTAACTCTCGAAACAGCGTCTACTGGAATCGTGCACGGTGATCGGTTGTTGTGGTGGATGGTACATTTTTATTCGCGATCCAATGAGCCAAAATATTATATGCTACCGTCTCTGGAGAAATCTCCGCGATAGGCATTTCTACGGGCCAACGAGTGCAACGATCGATGGAATTCAGTAGGTACTTGTATCCACTCGATGGCAGTAGCGGACCGACGGTGTTGAGATGTACCTGAATGAAACGAGCATCAGGAACTGTGCAAATGCCAAGTGCTGCCTATTTATGGCGCTACAGTTTCGAACCTTGACAGGGGGAACAATTTCTCACCATGGTCTACACGTCTTTGGTTAGCGCTGGCCACAGGTAACGCTTAGAAAAGCGTTTGAGAGTTGCGCGGATGACTGGATGTGATAGACCACGTAGTGAATCAAAGATGATTCACCGATAAGTCTGTGCAACTACCGGTCGTTACTTTCCTATATAAACTTCAAACATCAGGGCATTCGAACTCTAAGGCAACGGAATCGGTTTCACCAGTAAATTTGTTCCTTTGCACTTGTTGTAGGAACTGCTTATTCTGACGCTGTGCTGTGGATACTTCCTGGAGATGGAGTGCTCAACTAAGGTGTTGATTTCCGCCAGGGATAGGGCATCTGCTATGGCGCTATTCGCGGCGAACAAATGTCGCATGCTAGAGATAAATTGGGAAATGTAATCCGGTTGTCTGGTTTCGCTTGGAGAAAGAAGATCAGAATCGGAACGCAGCGCATTCGTTAACGGCTTATGACCGGTGAATATCGTGAATGTACGCCCTCCCAAGCAAAGTCGGAAGTGACGCACATTGAGATAAGTAGCTAAGAGTTCGCTGCTGAACGTACTACAGTGTCGTTCGGCAGGCTGCAATTTCTTAGAGAAAAAGACGAGCACTACTGTGCTCTACTGTGCTCTACTGTGCACTACTGTTTATGCCAACTGGCTGAAACTGCATTCTAATACATTTCTGGGCACGTGGACGACTATTTGAATAGGAACTTGGAATCGAAGTACCACAACTTAGTATAACAAAATCCCCTACTATTGACAATATCAAAATATATCGGCACTAACAGTTTCTAAATGCTTTGTTGTACGTAGCTACTGTTGGTGGACTTCGTGTATTTCGGGAGTAGCCCTGTGCTCTGCAACGTTTCTAACTTGCACGACGGTGTAGGATAAGGCGCAATAGATCGCAGTTAGCTTGTAAATCATGACGGCCCGAAGCTGTATCCCGTGGCCTAGTGGCATAAGTTGCTGACTGGCGGTTCAAAACGCAGGTGGTCATGTTTTCGAGACTTGATGGATCGGGTGGATGTGCACTACTGATTAGGGCATCAGGCAAACACTGCAATCTAGTGCATTTCCGGGCATGTGGACGAAAATCTGATTTGGAAGCTGGCTACAAAGAACGATACTTAAAAAACGGTCATTTACCACCTTTTAATCTGACCGTTAGGGGGCATGTCCTCAATAGCCGCAGCGAGATCATTCTACCCGTTGGCGCACTATTTCAGAAGTCCGCTTTATTTTTGATTACAATAATTTTACTGTATCCAAGTGTTAGCGGAAACTTTAGTGCTCTGTAATGTTGCGACTGAGATGGGATGTTATACTATGGCTAGTGTCGTTTGAACAGCAATATTTTCATTAACTGCATCGTCTAGAAAGGAAACTGTTGTATCAAATTGTCCGTCGTTCCGAATATGTGCTTTGCACAACACTAATAAAGTCCCACCATCATGAATAGGTATTATGTGTCTCCGTGCAAAATAAACTGTTGTAATTCGGTGACACGAGTGTATCACACAAAGAACCAGTGTCGCGTGACACAAAAGTTTACAATATTTAATGATTATGTTACGCTACCATGAAGTCTCATAAATGGGTCAGTTGTCCTGCTTTGTGATTAGCTAAACAAAGAGATGGGCGCTAAACACACGGATATAACATAGTCCATCAAGGTTGAGCGAGAACGTTGTGAGCAATTATACATTAGGAAAGCGACGAAAACATTGGAGTGCTGCCATGGTTAGTTACTATGGATTGGAAGGCCAGTTTTGTCAGTATACGTTACTGGATCCGGAAATTGTTGCTTCAGCATAAGAAGGTTGGCCTTTGGTGATGAGGAAATCATAAGATATATGCGACAAACACAGTTTATGCACAGGTTAGAACTATCCTTTCATCTTGTCACCTCTGTTTGGTCCTTCTCAGATTTATCGTTATGGAGTTCAAGTACATGCGGATTCGTATTGTTGGACCTTCAAGCGACGGCGGTATTCTAACGAGTTTTGGTAGCTTGTGATTTAGCTAACGGAGCCGTCGTCTGCAGCACATGGGTAAAAAAATGAATTATATTTTTCGCGACAGTACGAGACATAGTCCAGCTGAACGGTTTGCACAATAGGCACCGCAGAATAGAATCACACAACCAATAGTTTGGATTTTTTTGAGTGTGACAACTTAAAATTGAAGCAGCATCAAATTGGGTGTTGTCCGCCTGAAACCACTGCACTCCATGACGCGTTTCGAGGTTATTTCCTCTCATCAGATAGAGATAGCAGGCATCGAACCCGGGACCACTGGGATGTTAGTTGTGACCGCCACCCCCTATGCCACCGGGTCACGACGGGCTAAACTTGGCACGACGGTTAATGACAGGTTGGAATGTCAATTACTAGTACACGTAGCATAGGGGTGGCGGTCACAACTAACATCCCAATGGTCCCGGGTTCGACGCCTGCTATCTCTATCTGATGAGAGGAAATAACATCGAAACGCGTCATGGCGTGCAGTGGTTTCAGGCGGGCAACACCCAATCTGATGCCGCTTTATCAGCTACGGTCCTAGTGATCGAATGGCCAAGGTTCACTTCAATGGGAATCGAGGTCCACTTTGAGATTGCGCGTCGCAATCCATCGACACAACGCGTACTTCAAATTGACTTTCCAATTAAAATAGAGGTATTAGATAGAGTGTAACGTTTTAAAAAGTAACAAATACTGTCATACGTAGGTGTTCAGTTGAAGTAACTGGGCCATCCAAAGATCCGTTTCCAGGAGATCTACTTCCAACAGAGTATGAGATCGAAAGGTTTTCCTCTCTTTTCCACGTCCAACCAGTGCGCCGGTGTAACGGGTTCTCATTAGTTGATCTGTTTTAAGCATACTGTATGGACAAAGAATCCTTTAACCCGTTTCATCACACGGCTCTTTCAAGAATGGCATTTTTATTCTACATCAGCGGGTCACCGATTGCATTGGTATACTTTTTGGTTTGTAAGTTTCAACCCGTCAATTCAGATCAGCCCAGTCGCTTCAAACAACGAAATAAGGAAGAATCTAAGATATGAAAAATAAAAATAAAAATTGAAATTACGTTATTGATAATGATGACATATTTAACAACAATGCAAATGGGTTTGACGGATCATGCAATCAGATTGTATGGCGGGACAGTTAAAGTCAAATAACTGCTTGAGTTACTCATAGACGAAAAGATTCTAACAATAATTTGTAATCACCATAAGCGAAAGGCATTAGAACAGTAGAGAATTTAATAGTTTCAGGCACTTAAATTTTGTAAACATTCCCTTGCTATTTCTTTCCTTAAAACAGAAAAATTTGATAGCATAAGAGGATGAATGTGACGAAGAGAATCATGGAACCCAAGGAGGCCGCGGATTTCTGAACTATGATGTTGGATTCCACTTTTGCTTCCAGATTACTGTGTAACACGTGTTATTTCTGGTTGAATTTTACACCAATATTTTTTGTGTGTTTTATAATCTCTGCAACTTTGGTTAATATTCTCCGCCTACTTTCGGAGATCTAATTGATCGGCCTAACAGCCGTCTTAAATTTCGTGTACAGTAATCGAACATGTGTGGAGCAGTCACGTGACCTTCCGGCGGAACTGACATCAACGACAACCTCGAAAAGCGCAACCGTCTGGATTTGATTGAACGAACGTCAGCCCGAACCAACTCCTAATGAACCGATAATGCCAAACTAAAACTGGTTGGTTTGCATCGCATTCGCTTATATGTCTATTGAAATTTTACCGTAGCTCAAGATTTGAAGACTTTGATTGAGCCATTATTTCATCAACTATCCCTAGCTACTTCATCTAACCTTCTCAACAACACAGTTTACTTTATTATGGCACCCACAAGAGCTAGCCTCACTCGACAAGCCAAAAGTAGCGTTTCATACACCGCCCGAACAAAACCAACGAAAACTCTGGCCCCGACCAAACTACGAGCCAGTCCTGATCCCATCGCTACTCTACTTTCAGAACCCAGTAATAAGATCAACTCCTTGGAACCCCAACTCTCCGAGATGAGAAAAATGGCAACCATAGTCGAACCAATCCGAGATCACTTGGCTTCATATGACTAGCTCAGTAACCCAGGGAAAAGCTTTGGTTCAGCCCAAATGGGAAAGGCAGGACACTTAATCGCCTCAATTGCGTCTGAGGTACTTGAACGAATGCATAGAATGAAAAATGTGATCGTTTTTAACATTCCTGGTGGACTTAGTTTGGGTAAAGTCAAACTGCAGTACTTCCGACCAGCAACATGTCAAAGTTGAAAACAACTATCTTCGTCTACTAAAGAAATCACCTAAACAGTACCGCTTGCTCGCTTCCAAATTTTTCAACTAACGGATCAGTAAACCGATTGTTGAGTAATCAGCTCAGCATAGCCCAGCAGGCCTTATTCAAGGACCTATTAATTAAACATGATAACACACCGTTACAAAAATCCTTTAGTGATATTTCGTTAAAATCACGAGCTCAATCGGCTATTTGAAGTAAGCTTGCTCAGACTAAAACTCATAAAGATAACTTATCTAATGTGGCAACTGGGCACTGAAGTGGATCTCAACAGCTCCCCTCATATGATAAGTTCCTCGGTCACTACTGTTCCTGACGATACTGCAATGTCACCTAAACTAACCCTTACTAACTACTACCTCAATATTGACGCCTGTGAACCAACTGAATTGGATTCGCGTCCATAAATGCCGGAGTAATTTCTAAACTTTGGGAAGAGTTGACTATCATGGCTCTGTAACCTTGTCGCAAGCTAAACTCAACGTCCAAAGGACCCCCATGGGTAGTCTATCTAGCACTGTAGATAACCCATAGCTACTCACCGGTTCCAACAAAAGATTTAGGCTTGCGATGAACACGGTAAAATCTAATAAGACCTCACGACATACACCGCACAAACACTATATAAATCGACATTCTGAGCCAACAAAAACCAGAAATCAAAGTCTTTTGGATACTCTCGTCAACATTTCTTTCAATACTACAATGAAGGACACATTACTGATAGAATAAACTATGCCACGAAGCCGAGGCCACCTCCCATCTCGTCTTACATGTGTGAAAACATTCCAAACACCCCACAGTATGACCTTTGTTTTACTACAGGAGGGAATGGAGGCGCGGCCAAGCCCACTCCTTACATACCCGGCAGAAGTCAACTTCAATAGTTCAATAGTGTATGGTGGGATAAAAGGCAATAACCTTACAAGACCCACAGGATGGCAAATGGAAGAAAACAAAAGTTTCAGGTGTGACACAAAAATATCAGTAAGTTAGACACTGCAGTTTGTCATACCGTTATATAATGTGTATCATGTAAGTGCAAGTCCAATAGTCTTTCGAATGTCTCGATGTTTGGTGCGTTCACCACATGCGATGGCAGTGCGGACAGACCCTAAGAGAGTAAAAAAACTTTCTACAATCTAAACGGGAATATTGAGTCACAAGTTTTAGTGCATGGCACCGGCATCGTTTGTCGGCAGATAATGTTAACAGCGACTTACTTGGATGGTCCTCTTCTCTTAGTATCCGGTAAGTAAGGATCAGATCACCGCGAAGTCGTCGGTATCCTAAGGAGTACAGACCGATCGAACGAAGGCGCAGTTCATAACTAAGGCCCGATAGACCACGTGTTGCCTTAGTGGCTCTTCTTTGTGGTTGCTCCAGGAGACGAATGTCCCGTTTTAACCACGGACGCCATGCCTGCACCGCATACTCGAGGTGGGGACGAATGTAGGCGTTAATCAATAATGGCACGAGTTGCCGCTCGAAGGTACCGAGCGCTCGCCTCAAAAGCCTCAAGTTTAAGTTCGCTATGTTAGCTGCCTTTGAACATTGGAGCGAATTACCCAGACCTTCTTGCACGATGACCCCTAAGTCTCTTTCGTTGCTCACCTGTTTTATAACGCGCTGCCCCAGGTGATATGTGTTGCTGCAGTTACTGCTCAGCGACAACAGGTGACACTTTTCGGGGTTAAGGGGTTGTTGGTTGTTTACTGCCCATTCGTGAATCCGGTTCAGGTCATCCTGCAGAGAGACAGGGTCAGATGTTGACTGAATAGCTCGCCACATCTTAGCATCGTCGGCGAATATTTGCATAGGTGATTGAATGTTGGCAGGGAGGTCGTTGATATAGACTAAAAAGAGTAACGGGCCGAGAACTGATGCTTGCGGTACGCCGCTAGTGACGCATAGGTTATCGGAGTAGGTGTTGGCGATCCTTACCTCGATTCTTCTGTCGTATAAGTAACTTTCCAACCATGTGAGCAAGGATCCGTGGATACCATAGGCCGCAAGCTTTCGGAGAAGTGCTGGGTGATTGACTCTGTCGAATGCCTTAGAAAAGTCTAAGTAAATCACATCTACGGGAACTCCCTCGTCAGCAGCCCTGGTCCATGAGTCCCGAGCAAGTAGTAGACTGGTGAGGCAAGATCGTCCGCGTCTGAATCCATGTTGGAGGTTGGAGATGATTTGTAGACTTTCAAAATATCTCACCATTTCATCAGTGATTATAGACTCCATCACTTTTGATAGAACAGGAAGGAGAGTAATAGGTCGGTAGTTGGCAGGGTCTGACCGCTTACCTCCCTTGTATATCGGAGTGATAAGTCCACGTTTCCACTCAGACGGAAGTGTATGAGAATCAAATAGAAACTGGAAAAAGGTTGCAAGGTGGACTGCCATGGTTGGTGCAAGGGTTTTAAGTACTTTCGGAGAGATCTTGTCAATTCCCGGCGCACTATTTTCCCTGAGCGACTGTAATTTCTTTGC